CTGCACACGTGCAAACACACAGACCCCCCCCCCCGTGTAGCATTAACAGGTCTGCTGGGGCAAGTGCTGTTAGCCAGGAGCAGCACCTAAGATGCCGGCACAGCTCACGAAGAGTGGGTGGCCAAGCACCACGCCCCGCCCGCCATTGTCTCCCCAGTGGCGATGTTTACTACCCACCGCACCAGGTACTCGTTTGAGGCTGAGTCAACATAGGGGAGGCCCAGGATCGGTTCAAATAATCGTCACCGGTGTTGGTGGCCGTGTGAGCGGGAGTCGAACTCAGGTCGCCGGGTTGTCACTGAGCAGAAGACTCGGCCCACTGATTGGAGAGCCACAGCCAATCAGCATCAATCACACTCAGCCCCCTGATTGGATGATGACAGAGCCGCAGTCAATCAGCATCAATCACACTCAGCCCCCTGAGTGGATGACAACAGAGCCACAGCCAATCAGCATCAATCACACTCAGCCCACAGTGGATGACAACAGAGCCACAGCCAATCACACTCAGCCCTCTGAGTGGATGACAACAGAGCCACAGCCAATCAGCATCAATCAAACTCAGCCCCCTGATTGGATGACGACAGAGCCACAGTCAATCAGCATCAATCACACTCAGCCCCCTGAGTGGATGACAACAGAGCCACAGCCAATCAGCATCAATCACACTCAGCCCTCTGATTGGATGACAACAGAGCCACAGCCAATCAGCATCAATCACACTCAGCCCCCTGAGTGGATGATGACAACAGAGCCGCAGCCAATCACACTCAGCCCCCTGAGTGGATGATGACAGAGCCACAGCCAATCACACTCAGCCACCTGATTGGATGACAACAGAGCCGCAGCCAATCACACTCAGCCCCCTGAGTGGATGATGACAGAGCCACAGCCAATCACACTCAGCCCCCTGATTGGATGACAACAGAGCCGCAGCCAATCACACTCAGCCCTCTGAGTGGATGACATCAGAGCCGCAGCCAATCAGCATCAATCAAAGTTCGCCGCCCACTGTTGTAACAGAGATACGCAACGACTGCACGACTGTAGAGGCGATCGCGTGGATTTCAGGTGAACCGGAGCACATTTGTTCGGCTTAAAAGTACCGTGTGACTTGTAATAAACATGTCCAAGAATAACAAAATACTATAACTGTTTAAAAATATTAATTTGGGCTTAAGGGGGTAATCCGCGCGTTATTAATGTATGTCAAAATCTCAGGTGCGTGGTTAATCCGCAAATCGGATAAACCACACGCGGATAATCCAGAGTTTAGTTTTACCCCATTGGTACCTCATTTGCCAGTAAAAAATACGATAATTGGTTTTTTACCCTTTTATCTGGCAACAAAACTGACACCTTTTTTACGAGGAGTCATGTTTGCATTGACCACAATACCTGCAGTCATAATGCAAACAAAGAACATAACTCTGATAATGTATGCACTGTCCTTGAAGTTGATTGGTCCACACCCGAGACAGCTTTCCTGAGAGCCTAGTCTCACATGGGTTGGACCAGATGACGCCAAAAGGCGCACAACTCAAAGACAATGCACCATCAGAGTATGAGAGCTCGGGTAAGCATTTACACCATTGGTACCTCATTTGCCAGTAGCAAAATATGATAATTGGTTTTTTACCCTTTTATCTGGCAACAAAACTGACACCTTTTTTACGATGAGTCATGTTTGCATTATGACTGCAGGTATTGTGGTCTATGCAAACATGCCTACTCGTAAAAAAGGTGTCACTTTTGTTGCCAGATAAAAGGGTAAAAAACAATTATCACAGTTTAGTTTTAGTTAAATAATGACGATGGGAACTATTCTAGGATGTCACGGAGGGCCTTACGAAGGCCAATGTATGAACCTGGTTCACGTCGCGCTATGAGCTCCACGATATCTCATCTCTTATGTAGGATTTCTAAAAAGTGCCTTTGTCGAATCGTTTTGCAAGAATTATAGATGGTATACATAAGTAGTGGCTGATGGGGAAAAGGGACGAGGTTTGAGTGTTGGGGAGGGGAATAGATGGGAAGGGAGGGTGATGATAGGGAAAGTGAGGTCTGACAAGGTTTGGAGTTGATTGCATTGGTGGAGCGGGGCGGGGCGGGCCGGCCCGTGCCGTGCCGTGCCGGGCCGGGCCGGCCCGTGCCGGGCCGTGCCGGGCCGGGCCGTGCCGGGCCGTGCCGGCCGGGCCGTGCCGTGCCGGGCCGGGCCGGGCCGTGCCGTGCCGGGCCGGGCCGTGCCGTGCCGGGCCCAGACGCATGACCCTCGAGTGCAACGAACTTGTGGCTCGTCAAGACTTGGTGCTGAACGTTCTCAACTATTTAAAACGATTTTGTTTTCTTTTTCCCAGCTCAGGCGGCCCACTGCTGAGCTATGCAGTAGCTCTCTATCGGCAGGGAGCTGGCTGCCACAAATGATCGCTGTTCAATGGAAGCGGCTTATCATCATCGTGTGGAGATTTATAGCGGGAGCCAAATACTCCAATCGCACAGAGACGCATAGAGACTCATAGAGACTCATAGAGATACAGAGACATAGAGATTCTTAGAGACACATAGTGACCCATAGACATGCATAGACACCTATAGAGACCCATACACTAAACTATTATATTTCACAAGGTAGAGCCCACTGAGCTGTATAACTCTTTTTCAGAAGCATCCTGGCCTCAAACAAACAGCACAACGAAGTGGCGTTCTTATCACGTGGAAATGTGTCGCTGTAGCCACACATTCTAAATGCAAGACGTTGATTCTAAATGTGGAGGGAAAAAACCAGAGGACCCGGAGAAAAATCCACGCGATCACAGGGAGAGAGACGCATACTCCAAATATACAGCAGCAGGCATCGTCAGGGTCGGGATCGAACCCACGAACTCCTGTAGGCCAGGCGAGGTCGTTAACATCTCCTAGCCACCGTGATGATGAGAGAGAGACGCAGACTCCAAATATACAGCAGCAGCAGCAGGCATCGTCAGGGTCGAGCTCACGACCTGCTGCAGACCAGGCGAGGTCGTTAACATCTCCTAGCCACCGTGATGATGAGAGAGAGACGCAGACTCCAAATATACAGCAGCAGCAGCAGGCATTGTCAGGATCGAACTCACGACCTCCTGCAGACCAGGCGAGGTAGTCAACATCTGTTAGCCACCGCGGCCCACGAGATCCATCCAGGGACCACGGTGACCAGCGAGAGAGGATCAGTCGTAGCGATCGCAGACTCCAGATTCCAGTTTTCTCCTCATCTCAAGTGCCTCGGCAACCGCACGCGACCAGAATGTATCATTTGATCACCGCGTGCAAAATGTAGCAAAGTCCTGCAAGTTTCATATCAGGGCACCACGACACATTCGGGCACTTACTGAGTCGTGACACAGCCAACGCGGTTGGCGTGCGGCAGCAGTGTCGTAGGCAAGGCTCGATTGTTGCAACTCGCTGCTCTACGGGACGTCTGGCAAAAACATGAGCCAGCTGCAGCGTGTACATTGCCTGGCACACGTCGTGACGGGGTACAGCGAGATCCGACACCGTGTCCGTCCGGTGCTCGCCGAACTGCATTGGCTTCTGGAACGAATTCATTGCAAAGTCGCGCTCTTTACACACACAAAGTGCTTGCCACACGTGAGCCACCTTGCTGCTGATCTCGTAGAGGAGCGTAAAGCTTCACGCCACAAACTCCGCTCATCCTCACAGCGGCTTCTGGGTAACCATCATGCGGCACTTTCAGATGCCCTTCTGCGGCCGTCTGGAACGCTCTTCCTTACAATGTTAGGAAGTCACTGGGAGCTATAATGCACTTTGACATCATCATCATCGAGATTAACAAAACTAATTTCTTTAGAACTGCTGCTTGTTTAGTTTGTTGCCCTTCCCCCCGTGCCTCCGATGAGCACGGTTGGCTACGTACGGTGAGAAAAAAGTTCAACATACACACACTCACATAGTCACTCACATAGTCACTCACATAGTCACTCACCCACTCACACAGTCACTCACATAGTCACTCACCCACATCACATAGTCACTCACCCACTCACATAGTCACTCACCCACTCACAGTCACTCACCCACTCACACAGTCACTCACCCACTCACATAGCCCCTCACCCCTCACATAGCCCCTCACCCACTCACACAGCCACTCACCCACTCACACAGTCACTCACCCACTCACATAGCCACTCAACCCACTCACACAGCCACTCACCCACTCACACAGCCACTCACACACTCACATAGTCACTCACCCACTCACATAGTCACTCACCCACTCACATAGCCACTCACCCACTCACATAGTCACTCACCCACTCACAAAGTCACTCACCCCTCATATAGCCACTCACCCACTAACACAGTCACTCACCCACTCACACAGCCCCTCACTCACTCACACAGCCACTCACCCACTCACACAGCCACTCACCCACTCACAGTCACTCACACCCACTCACACAGTCACTCACCCACTCACACAGTCACTCACCCACTCACACAATCACTCACCCACTCACACAGTCACTCACACCCACTCACACAGTCACTCACCCACTCACACAGTCACTCACCCACTCACACAGTCACTCACCCACTAACACAGTCACTCACACAGCCACTCACCCACCTCACACAGCCACTCACCCACTCACACAGCCACTCACCCACTCACACAGCCACTCACCCACTCACACAGCCATCACCCACTCACACAGCCACTCACCCACTCACATAGCCCCTCACCCACTCACACAGTCACTCACCCACTCACACAGCCACTCACCCACTCACACAGTCACTCACCCACTCACACAGTCACTCACCCACTCACGTAGTCACTCACCCACTCACACAGACCACTCACCCACTCACACAGCCACTCACCCACTCACACAGTCACTCACCCACTCACACAGTCACTCACCCACTCACACAGTCACTCACCCACTCACACAGCCACTCACCCACTCACACAGTCACTCACCCACTCACGTAGT